AAAAAAAAAAAAAAAAAAAAAGCCAGCCTGGGCAAGACAGTAAGACCCAGTCTTTAAAAAAACAAATTTTTTTTTTTTTTAAATTAAAAAACAGTGCATATGCTAAAATCCAGCTGCAGGAGCTTGAATCCAGAGCACTGATGCTTGCTGACTGTGTGGCCTTGTAACCTCTCTGAGGCTTGGTTTCCACAGCTGTGCAGTGCAGACAGTGGTCTCTGCTGCTTTCAGTTGAGTGGTACCAGGATTGAGAAGGACAGAGCAGAAATCTGTAAGTTAATGTGCACCGTGCATTTGAGGGGAGAAGAAGCAGGCAGTCAAGAACATCCATACCATATCAGGAAACCTTCCCCGAAGCTCTGAGTACGGGCTGCTGCCAGAGCTTAGCCATGTAACCACCTCAGGTTGCAGAGGAAGGCAAGCACTAGGGATCAAGATAGTCCTGGTTGGCACAGCCACATACCTCACTGGCAACATCTGGGGAAGGCTGCCCCATCCTGTCAGGACTGGTTTTGGACTGAAAGCCTAGGGCAGCTGTTAGCCATGCGTGCAAGTCACCTAATCTGCACCTCAACCCTGTGGGGCTGCTTCTGTTAGTGTATGGATTTCACAGGTGAGAAAAGTAAGGCAGGTAAGTGACCAGTGCAGAGTCACCTAGCAGAGCCAGGCTTCAGACCCTAAAGTCCACACGTAACTCCTTTCTTACTCACAGGCCAAATGATAAAATCCAGTTACAGCCGCCTCTTTTTGTCCCTGGACGCTGGAAGGCATTTTTGCTTGATCTGTAGTTGTCCCAACAGACTGTACAGCAGAATTCCACTTGAGGACAGCACAGTATCACAGCACTTGAGAGGCAGAGGCAGCAGTATTGCAGTGAATTCGAGGCCAGCCTGGGCTACTTAGTTCAAGGCCACCCTGAACTGCAGTGTGAGACCCTGTCTCAAAATAAACACACAAACAAGAATTTCACATGAGAGGTTTTAATCAAGGAGCTTGCTGGTGTTTGGCCTTTTCTCCTCAGTATGTACAGAAGGTGCCCACAGCTCTGGCTCACCCTGCTGCAGAACAGGGCACCATCTGTCTACACCATGGGTATAGGAAGGTGAGAAACCTTTGGATGTCAGCACTACATGGCTCTTTTCTCTTGTATATGGGCTTTAAGATCCATCCCCATTGAACCATAGGGCTTTGTAGCTACCATCTAAAGTCAGTGAGATCAAATGCTGTATGTGTTATAGGTCACAACAGGCAGTAAACCTTAGGCCCACATGACCGCCAACTCCTCCCCACTCTAATCAGCTGTGGTTCCCAATGGAGACAGCTTGTGATCATCAGCCCCATCCCCCCAGAAAAACAAATGTGTGCATGGTGCCCCACAGAGTGTGGCTGAGAGTCTGAGGGAGCCAGGCTCTACTGACTCCTCCATCCCTTCCTTCCCATGCAGTGGTATTTCCCCAGGATCTGCTGGAAAAGGGCCTTGAAGCGGACAACTTCGCCATGCTGGGACTCGGAGATATTGTCATTCCAGGTGATCGTGCTGGGAATGGGGGACTATGGTACAAGGAGTAGAGGGGGATACTGTGAGACAGTTGGCCGTGCCCATTGGGAAAGGAGACAAAAAGAGCAGCCCAGGGTTTGGTGAAGGGTTCTCCCTCAGCGCACTCATGTGCAGCCCTAGTCGTGTGCCAGGCCTTGTGCTGGGCCCGTGACAGATAGCAGCGAGCAGGAGCACTCCCACTGGCCTCCTGATCTAGGGAGCTGACAGCACTCAGGACTGACAGGTAAACGTTCAGTGACAGACTGACACACTGGGGCAAAGCCCATTCCATGACAGTCTCACACATTCGCACACATACACACAGCTTCCCGGTGTTTGTAGGGATTACAGATGCCCTAGAACTGCCATAGTCCCCCCTCCACTGTGCTGAGAAACCTTAGGGGGAGCCTACACCATGCGGTGCTTGTGTGTGTGATCTGAGCAGCAGAGGACGTGTGTGCACCTGCTTTCTGCATAGGAGCCTGGCCTTGGGCGCCAGCAGCCCACACTCCCAGTCAGGAGACTAGGGCAGCTGAAGTGTCTGCACTCCTGGGCAGGCTTGTTATCCTAGCCTCAGTATCAGCCAGGGATTCAATGTAGAACTAATTAAAATCAACCCTTTTCCAATATAGGAAGCAGTAGAAATTGTAGTTCTCCAAGATGATACGGAACTTTTGTTCAGGATGCTCCCCCTCAGGATGTGTGTGGGAGAAGCAGCAGCATTCCCTTTTTCAAGTGAGGAAACACACTCAAAAGTGAAGGGTCTGGTAGAAATTTGCACACTCAAAACCAGCAGGGCCAAGACTCAGACCAAGTTTGCCTGGCTGTAAGAAGTTTATACTGTAGGGGTCTAGGGTGTCCCTCAGTGATGGAATGCATGCTTAGCAGGCAGCAGGCCTTGGGTTTAATTCCCACCACTAGTGACAACAAAATAAGGTTGCAATGCAGGAACTGCCCTTACAACAGGGATGATGATGACAGAGACCATTTGCAACAGCGCTAGTCAACAGGCACTTGCTGTGTGCTGTGTGAGGAAACTGAGGTTCAGAGGAATGGTTTTATTTGATAGGGCAGATTATTTCCAAAATAGTTCCAAATTTGGTTCCAAAATTTCTGTGCTGTGAGGTAGGGAGACTGACTTCCCCAGGAGATGGCAGTGACATCAGATAGAAACAAACCAAGTCCCCTAAAGTACACATTCTGTCAGAGGCATCCACACGGACTTCCAGTGTCCTTGCTAGGTGTAGTTCTGGGCTTGAGCCATGCACAGAACATCCCTGCATATCTGTCCCTTCCTATCCCTGGATATCTCCAAGTCTTTGACAGTCGCAATGAACATAAGCTGCCTGTCCCTCACAGAACCCCAGGCAGTGTTGGTCTGAGGACCTGATGAGCTAGACGCTCCTGGCAGGACTCTGGTCCCTGGTAACTGGAGAACAATTGTATAAGACTGCAGTGCAGTTTAGGGGTAGTGTTTGTCTCGCTGCACAAGGCCCTGGGTTTGATGTATGAGAAAATACATGTACGGTGTACATAAGAATATATAGGTATGTACATGCGTGTGTGTGTGTTACCGGTCAGTGCTTCTGACCGTGCAGAACCTTTCCTCAGCTAATGAGATTTGGTGTGTTCTGTATGAGCCTAAAGACCAGAGAGGGAGATAGACATGTGGAGGACATCCTGTGTGCCATGTGTAGAAGCTGAACTGGCTCTAGGTCTTAGGGACTCTTAGGGTCCTGGAGCATCTATGCTTGGTTTTGAAGTGTGAATAGGAGTGCCATAGGTAGACAGTTAACTCCTCTCTCCCTTCCAACCAGGCAGCTGTCACAGGGGTCTTTTTCAAAGTCTGTTTAAGCTATTCTACCTAAGAGATCCTCCAGTGTGTCCCATACTCAGAATATAGACCGGTCTCCTCCCCATGGCCCTTGGGACCCTGCATAGCTGATCCACCCCGACATCTCCTGCTCTGGGCTGAAGCCTCATGGGCCCGTCAGTCACTATAACACCCCTGAGCTCTCCTCAGAACCTTTGCCTGTGCTATTCTCTCTCCCTGGCAAGTGTCACCTTAGAGAGGCACTCCTTTGTCATACACCAGTCCAGTGCATCTTCCAAGATCAGGAGGTACCTTTTATAATTAGAATCCTCATTGGTTTTTGCTAATGTCCCAGCAGCCTGCCCCTTTGTCTTAGCTCTGATGGTGAATTTGCTTTCTCTTCATCTACCTGGCAGCCCCGTGTTTGACAAGCACTGCGTACACTTGGGAGCAGAAGACCCAGTGTGATGCATATGGGTGATAAGGTTCCTGGTCAGGAAAATGCCAGGCTCTCCCTGCCGTGTGGGTGAACCAGGACTTCTGCTGACACTTGGCAGCATCGGCCACACCTTGGGCCCAGATGGTTCTTATACAGGGAGCACCGGGTGGGGGCTGGCCAGGCTCCCAGAGTTCACCAGCTACTCCTTCCCTGCCCCAGCTAACCCAGCTCTCTTCCCACAGGGATCTTCATTGCCTTGCTGCTGCGATTCGACATCAGGTAAATGAATGAGGCCCTGCTCTAGCAGGGTTTCTCCTGGGTTCTCCAGAAGAACTTCCTCAGGGACCAGACTCCGTCCGCCCTCACAGCAGCCAGAGCCACTTGATCTGATCTTGTCTGCATCCAGAAGGACTAAGTGTTCCAAAAAAAAAAAAATCAGAGGCCAAGAGATTGAACTCCTGAACTCCGAGAAGTCCTGGTGGTACTTAGTTCTCTGTGTGCCCTTGACAAGTGGCCTGGCCCTTCTGAGCCTCAGGCTTCTCGCCCATGGCAAGCAGGAGCTCCCCCCTCAGGATTACAGATACCCACAGAGAGCAGGCTGAGCACAGCTGAGCCCTGTCCAGGGAGCCAGCTGCAGTCTCTTTATCACCCTCACTTACCAACCAAGGTCAGCTGTGTTCCTTTCCTTGCTCATACTTTTTTCAATCTATTATAAAAATGGAGCACAAGTGAGAGGAAGTCGGCTTGGGTCCCCACTCAGAAAAGATGGCATTAAGTGAGGGCACTGGGACAGCTGGACCTGTACCTGCAGGGGTTCCCAGGGATGTACCCTTGTTTAATGCTCTGTCCTCCCTACCAGAGCTTTTTGTGGGGTTGTACTCTGTTTTGAGTGGTTTGTGAACTTTTTCTTGCCCAATAATTGCAAACACTGAAGTAACTGAGAGTGATAATGAGGATCGCAGTACTAGCACTGCTGAAGTCCAGCTGCGGACTGGGTGTAGAGCATGCACCTCGGATGTTCAAGGCCCAAGTTGCATCACCAGCACAGCAGAAAGAAAGACAGTCTAAGGGAAGCACCCTTTCCCGTGGCAGATATCTAGGTTATTTAGGTAGTGTCATTTGGGGCCTTATGAACACATGACAGCCTTTGGAAGGCCAGGCCACTCTAACAGAGGCACATCTGAACCAGCCAGCTCTACTCGTGGCTGTGCACACATAAGACAGAAACCCACCAAAGTTCCCAGGCTCACTGGCTACAGGCAGATTCAGCTGCCAGCCCCCCAAAGACAGAACTTCTGATGGGGGCTCACAGGATAAACAAGCATCTTGGAGTGATTCCAGAATCTGTGCCACATTTCAAAGGGACTCCGTTTTACCCAAGCCCTCACGATGGGACAACTCTCAATGTGCTCGTAGTTGAAGGCTTGGAAATGGCCAGCACACAGAGAGAAGGGGTCAGAAGTACGCATTCACTCCACAGGTGTTAACGGGCTGTAGTGCTTAGTGGTTCTCGCTCCATAGATACTGTGTAGATGACATCATAGAGGGAAGTCAGGTAATGGCAGTGCCAGTGTACCTGTTATGCACATGTTCTGAAGCTGGTTTTGGGTGAGTCACCTCCAGGGAACCACAGACATACAGCCAGCATCCAGCATCCATTTAGTACTTACACATGGGCTACTGAACTGCTGCAGTTGCTGCTGCTTTTTCTTTGGAACCCGAGTTCAAACTTGGAACCTTGCTTCCAAGGCAGGTGGCAGCACCACTGGGCTAAATCCCCAGCCCTGCAGCCATTACATTTATTGTTTTTTTGAGACAGGGGTCTCGCTATGTAGGTGAGACTGACCTGGAACTCACTATGTAGCCCAGGCTGGTCTCACTCACAGAGTCCATTACATTTATTGTTTTTTTGAGACAGGGGTCTCGCTATGTAGGTGAGACTGACCTGGAACTCACTATGTAGCCCAGGCTGGTCTCGAACTCACAGAGGTCCTCCTGCCTCACCCTCCTGAGTGCTGGGATTACAGGCGTGCACCACCATGCCTGGCTTGCAGCCATTACATTTAATGGAATAACATGCCTTTGCAGTTTCTGTCTTCCTGTTTCTCAAGGTATTTTCAACCTCTATCAGATACACTTCCATTATGTTCCAAAATGCAGATTCTTGCGCCTTTCTTCAGACTTATTCTGTATCACACTCTTTGGGACTGAACCTAGAAACCTGTGTTTTTCCTTCCACGAGCTTTCCAGATAATTTTTATGCTGACTAAAGTGTTACAGCCCCTATTCTAATTTATAGCATTTGATATTCACAGCTACCAACAAAATGGATTTATGGTTTCCCCATTTTACAGATGACTAAACTGAGGTTGAGACAAGAAAGGTGGCGGGTCCAAAGAGCCCCAGCTGGGGCAGTAGCAGAGTGCACTCCTACCTCAGACTCCCTCACTCCCACCCCTCCCTGAAGGCTCTTCCCAGTTCCCTCCTTAGAAGGGTATTGCTGCTCCAGGCCCTACATCTGACTCCTTGTTCTCCCTACACCATCCCTGCAGCCTGAAGAAGAACACTCATACCTACTTCTACACCAGCTTCGCAGCCTACATCTTTGGCCTGGGCCTTACCATCTTCATCATGCACATCTTCAAACATGCCCAGGTGAGCAGAACGTACATGGTGTGTCAAGAAGGCTTCACCACAAGAAGCAGCTTAGGGTTTATCTGTCATATGCACAAGCAGTCCAGAGGCAGCTGCTCCCCATAGCATCACAGCAACCCTGCCCGATTCTCCTGCACTTTCACTTACAGTTACACAGTGGCTGCCCGTGCTCCAGGTGACAAAGCCACATCTTTGCCAAGAAGAAAGAAAAAAGCATTGCAGTCACTCTTGCTCACATCTGAAGGGCCAGGTAGATCAAATGTCACCTGGCTACCTGGTTGCAGGAGAGTAACCTGAATGAGAGGCTTGGCTTCCAGGTTCAGTTGTGGGGGCAGACAGAGCAGGACGGGCCAAGTATTGGGTATAGGCCAGCGCCCATACACAGGCAAGTGGTAGTTTGTCACCAAGTAGGCCAAGGCTGTCTCACCAATAAGGTGCTGGGTCCCAAGCTGCCATGAGGGCTGGGAGCCATCAGTGTGGCCGGGAAAGGGAAGCGCAGCAGACAGGATCATCTCCTCTGCCAACAGGAGGACACCTGCTTGTTATGCACACCTCATTCCAGGCTTTGCTCACGAGGGTCCCTGTGACAGGTGAAGAACCCAGAGCCCAGCAACAGTATGATCAAGCTTGGCTCTGGTGGAGACCAGATTCAGCCATAGTAGAGGCAGTGTGGAGAGTGGGAGCCCCATTTACCCTGGGAGATTCTGGGAAGGTTGTCCAAATTACACTTGGATTCCTCATTCATTAATAAAATCCCAAAGGACCAGCATGGTGGCTCAAACTGTAATCCCGACTACTCGGCAGACAGAAAGGTTGTATGTTCAAGCCCAGCTGGGAAAGCTTAGCAAGAACTTGTCTCAGAAAGGACTGAATGGGGCCGGGGATTTAGCTCAGTGGTGCTACGCCTACCACGCGAGTGCAAGATCCTGAGTTCAATCCCTGGTACTGAGGTAAATAAAAAAGGACTGGCTGTGGCTTAGTATGGATGGGGGAGACAGGAATATGTTAAAATGGACGTGGTCCAAGTGCATGCTTAGGAAGACCTTAAGTTCACGTCTAGCCTGGGCTTTTTGTTGTTTGTTTTTTGAAACAGGATCTCCTTTTCTAATTCGGGCCGGCCTTGAACTCACTGTGGAGCCCAGGCTGGCCTCAAACTCACAGCAGTCCTCCTACCTCAGCCTCCTATGTGCGGGGATTACAGACATAGGCCACCATGCCCAGCCCCAACCCAAAAATATTAAATGTAAAATTCTAGAGCTAAGCAGTTTAAGTTGCATGCTATCCTAATATTTTAAAGAAATCTCATCACCCATGTAAACACTGACCAGCACATCTACCCTGTGTGTACTGCTGGGCCACTAGTCACATTGCAGCCCTTGTATTGTACATGGGGCTCAGTGCCATCTGTGACTGCAGGCATCTGGTGGAGAGGAAAGAGTAGGGGCTGCTACAATGTTGGTGTTTCATCTCCCTCTCTTGCCATCCTCCAGGGCCTAGCCACAGAGGAGCTGCCTTTGTGCTTGCTCTTGTTTTGTGTTTTTTGTTTGTTTGTTTGTTTTTTGGTGCCAGGGATCGAACTCAGGACCTTGGGCTTGCAAGGCAGGCATCGTCACCACTGAGCTAAATCCCCGGTCCTTGTTTTAATTTTTTATTTGTTGCAGTACTTCAGGTTGATCCCAGGACCTGCACACTGAACTACATCCCCCGTCCTTTTTTTTTTTTTTTTTTTTTTTTTTTTTTTTGTACCAGGGCTCAAACTCAAGACCTTGTGCTTGTAAAGCAGGTGGCAGAACCACTGAGCTAATACCCACCCACCCTCCTCGTCCCTTTTTTTCCCCCTTTTTTTTTTTTTTAATTTATTTATTTTGGTTTTTTGAGACAGAATCTCACTACATAGTTGAGACTGACCTGGAACTCACTATGTAGCCCAGGCTGGTCTCGAACTCACAGTGATCCTCCTGCCTCAGCCTCCTGAGTGCTGGGATTACTGACATGCGCCACCACGCCCAGCTTTTTTTCTTGTTTTAAAACAGGGTCTCACTAAGTTGCCCAGACTGGGCTCCAGCTTTGCAGTCCTCCTGCCACAGCATCCTAGAGTGGTAGGGTTACGGTGTGCACCACTACGCCCAGGGAAGGAGCTTCCTTTAATCACAAGACCTGTTGATCTCTCTATGCTTGGCCCTATACTAGACCTTTACAGAACATCCAAGGTCGCCTGTTCCATATGTAGAAATCCAAGGACCGTGGCAGAACCACTTCTCAGTTCTGCTCAGAGCACCCTGAGGGCTGTGCTGGTTGAACATCATGTGAATTTGCCAACAGTCAGAGACAGGTTCCTAAGTTGAGGAACTACATGCTGTTAGTTCCTGTGCAAGGTCTCTGCAGCCAGAGCCATTCTTCAGGTAGCCACCAGGTGGCAGGCTTGCCTTCCCTGGCTTAGATTGGAGGATCCCATTCTAGGCTTAGCATAGTGAGAGCAGGGGAAGAGGACTGGCACTCTTGTGGGCAGTGTAGCCCTGGGAGCAAAGGAGACTTTAGCAAGTTATGCAGCAAATCAGAATGAGGCCCACTGGAGCCCTGGACTCTGGACTCCCAACTGCTGGCCCCAGCAGCCCTAATCATCCAGTGGGCCTCACCCAAAGTCCTCAGGAAAGCAATGCAGCACCTGAGGGTCCTAGTGTCAACACTGCTCCAGTCACCATCACCACTGTGCCCTGTCTCAGAAATTGCTCCAAGCTAGGCCCCTAGAATGGCCCTTAGAAATAACCAAGGAGCCAAGTATGGTGGCGCACACCTGTAATCCCAGCACTCAGGCTGAGGCAGGAGGATCACTGCAAATTCGAGGCTAGCCTGGGCTACATAGTAAGTTCCAGGCCAGCCTGAACTACATAATGAGACTCTCCAGAAACCAAAAAAGGCTGTCAGCTTTCCTCACAATAGCAGGCCCTGCTTCCCCCAGGGTACAATTTTGCCTGATTTTTTCTCCTTTTTCCTTTCACTAAGCCCAACGTCACTCTGCAGAGCTAGTTTTTCACTCACTCCTCACTTTTACTTTTTCAAATAAACTTTTATCAGTGTTTTTTTGTTTTTGTTTTTGTTTTTTGGTTCCAGGGATCGAACTCAGGACCTTGCACTTGTGAGGCAGGCGGTGAAACCACTGAGCTAAATTCTTGGCCCTTTATCACAATTTTTAAAAAGGGGGAGGGGGGGTGAAAAGATGATCCAGGGATAGAGTCCTTGTAAGAGGAGAGTAGTTCAGCCATGGTCAGAAAGTAAAGCCAAGTCCTAGTAGAAATCTGGAGTCCTGAGACCCTGGATCGTATATTCCACTGCCTCCTTGGTACTGATTTTCTTTGGCAAGGGACTGTGGTGCCCTGAGAAGAAAGAAAATAATACACTGTGCATCCCTCTTCCAGCAAATTTGCTGTCTCCCAAAGGCGCCCTCCCCTGAGCCCCGTGTTTGAGGTGAGGGGAGCACCAAATTCCTGTCCCTTCCCTGGAGCCCCTGCCCTCTGCCCAGCCTGGCTTTGTGTAAAGGCAAAGCTGGGTTCAGGTCCTAACCAACTGTGCAACTTGGGGCAGGTTTTTCTCCCTCAGATCCTCTGTTCTCTCAGCTGTTAGGTGAGCCTGAGGGGACCTTTGAAACTAAGCAACATCCAGCACAGCACTTTTCTCTAGCTTCTTAATTCGAAGTCTTAGGTTATGTATCTCAAGTCTTTCCTCATGAATTCACTTAGGGCTATGCATTTTCCTTCAAGTACTTTTTTGGTTCCTTCTCACAGGTTTTGGTATGTGTCTGTCATTTTGTTCTATTTTTTCCAGTACTAGGGATGGAACCCGGGGCCTTTGCAGTGAACTATATCCCTAGCCCTTACTCCCCCCCAATTCTGGTATTGAGGATTGAACTCAGAACCTTACCCTTGTGAAGCAGGCACTGTGCCACTAAGCTAAATCCCTGGCATCCTCTTTTGTTTTGGTTTTGGTACCAGGGATCGAACTCGAGACCTTGTGATTTCGAGGCAGGCAGCGGAACCACTGAGCTAAATCCCCGGCCCTGGTGCCCTTTTTTTAAGAAGGGACTCACCGTGTCACTAAGTTCCCAGGCTGTCCTCAAACTTGCCATCCTCCTGCCTCAACCTCCCAAGTGCTGGGATTACAGGGCCACACCACCATACCCAGCTTCATTATGATTATTTTTTTTTACTCTTGGCCTAAAGCCTAGACAGTGGTAGCAAACTTGTACCACACATGCCACAGTGGGCTGTTTGTTATCACTGAAAACTATAAAAGGTTCATCATCACTGGCCTAGAGCACAGCAAAGACCCAGCGCCAGTTGGCAAAGCACAGCTACCCAGGATCAAATCCTAGCTCGTCCATGTAAGACACTGTGTATAACCTCTGGCAAGGGCCGGGGATTTAGCTCAGTGGTTCGGTGGCCTGCCTTACAAGTGCAAGGACCTGAGTTCAGTCCCTGGTACAAAAAAAAAAAAAAAAAAAAAAAAA